GCAAAATGAAATGATAATTTATAAGTTATATGTATGACATATTTGTAGTAGATGACATTAATATTTTTAGTTATTTTTTATTATATATGATGTATATAAAACTTATTATATAACAAGAAAAAAAAATCAGTAGTACCCGTTTTCGACTTTGCGAGGAGCCGACTTGAGCAAACACTCTTCAATCCAGTCTCTGAATTCTTTCATGTCCACTTCTTCAGAAACATTTATGCGAAACCCGACGTCGAATGGGCAAGACTTCTGAAGTCTTATTTGTTTCTTGGTAGAAATTTTGGTCTCCATTGTTCTCTTAGGCTTCTTGGTTCGCCTCACTTCGTCTTTCTTCGGACTGTATAAAACTAATGGAAGCTGTTGTTATTGCTTGATTAGTTGTGGGTTCTCTCCTTTTACCGTCTCGTTCTTCTCGACAGTCTGAAATATAGTGATAAACATTGTATAAAAAAGTTAAATTATTGTTAAACAAAATTGTATTACAGATAATAAAAAATTAAAGCTAGAAGACTTACATTATTGACCTGTTCTGGGATAGTCTTCTTCGATGGTGACGTCGGTGGTAGAACAGCAGTTATGGCGTCAAACGATGGATGAGATCCATTCAATGCATAACCGAATATGGGGTATGGCTCATAACTGAAACCTCTCTGCATATATGTATATAATATAAGCAAGAAATTGAATTAATTCGAATATATATAAACCCCATATTTGTAATGTTGTACATATATATATATATATATATATATATATATATATATATATATATATATAACTAACATATACATTTGAATACAAGAGATGTAGTTACCAGTTCTTTGCCCTTTGGTACTTCATTTAATTTTTGTTGGACAATTTTGTCAACCTCCTCAATGAACTGGGTGTTGATCAAGAGGAAATTGTCATTGTCGTCGATGGTGCTGCTGGATGGATGGATATCAGGATTGGGTAGATGGATATCAGGGTTGGGTGGATGGATATTAGGGTTGGGTTGCTGGATATCAGGTTTGGTGGCTGTATATCAGGGTTAGGTGGATTTTGAACTGGTACAAACTATACAAAAAACAATAAAAATGTGAGAATTTTAATGATACAGGACAGGACAATGGATATATATTGTGGCAAGATATGCTTACTCTGTCTGCTGCACTCTTCATGAGTGCTTCGACTTTGGTTCTAAATTCTCTTGTAGGAGATTTGACAGTGATCTGCATTTAGAAACGATATTTTTATGACATTCATAATCAAAGTAAAAAAGAGAAAAGGATGTTTTACTATAATGATATAGTAAAAAAGAAAAAACAAAATACTTGAAGTGAATAAATTTCACCCGGCTCCTTCAAATCGAACGGCCTCCGTACCTGCAGAACCCAACACCGGGGGTGGCCCCGGCGTCGGGCCTCCGATGCCTAAGTCAGTCCTCACATCAAGAGAAAGAAAGTGTAGTCATCAAATGAGTAGAGAATGAGAGAATGAGGTACCTTGGCCCCCTTTTATAGGGGGAGTGTACCTTTTGGGCCCAAGTTGGGCTTGATCCCTATCGTTGGGCTTAGATATCTTAGTGGGCTTATCCTCCAATATGTATCCGCTTTATCCATTAAACCAGGTCCAGTATAATATCCTATATCATCTAGTCCCCCCCCACTCTGGTCGAGTAAGCATGACTCGATCCAAGAGTGAAAAATCCTCTTCGGATTGTTTCCGTTGACCTGCCACTGAGGTTACCATTTGAGTAAATCCTCCGCCACCAAATAGTTATCAATCCTCCAAGTGAGCATCGGGACCCCAAATGAATACCGAATGACCACCAATATCAAAAATCGATTGACCCACCACTGGGTTCGAACACCGAGAACCGAGAGACCGTTTAGGTCGAAAATCAAGAATCGAGAGACCTGCCTCTGAGGTCGAACGCCGAGAATCGAGCATCGAGAGACCTGCCTCTTAGGTCGAACGCCGAGAATCGAGAGACCATTGAGGTCGAAAGCCGAACATCGAGCATCGAGAGAATGTTGAGGTCGAAAATCGAGAACCGAGAATAGAGAGACCTGCCTCTGAGGTCGAACGCCGAGAATCGAGAGACCGTTGAGGTCGAAAACCGAACATCGAGCATCGAGAGACCTGCCTCTGAGGTCGAACGTCGAGAATCGAGAGACCGTTGAGGTCTAAAGCCGAGAATCGAGAATCGAAAGACCTGCCTCTGAGATCGAACGCCGAGAATCAAGAGACCGTTGAGGTCGAAAACCGAGCATCGAGCATCGAGAGACCTGCCTCTGAGGTCGAACGCTGAGAATCAAGAGACCGTTGAGGTCGAAAGCCAAACATCGAGCATCGAGAGACCTGCCTCTGAGGTCGAACGCCGAGAATCGAGAGACTGTTGAGGTCGAAAACCGAACATCGAGCATCGAGAGACCTGCCTCTGAGGTCGAACGCCGAGAATCGAGAGACCGTTGAGGTCGAAAGCCAAACATCGAGCATCGAGAGACCTGCCTCTGAGGTCAAACGTGAGAATCGAGAATTGAGAGACCTGCCTCTGAGGTCGAACGCCGAGAATCGAGAATCGAGAGACCTGCCTCTGAGGTCGAAAGACAAGAACTGAATTACCACCCCTGAAGTCTTGAATTTTAAAATTTGAATTTACGTCTGTTGTATTTCGGTCACCATGTTCGAGCTCTCTTATACCACCTCGAGCTCTCTTATACCTCCTCGTCCTATCGCCCCTCAGTTCAAAAGTTAAAATTCAAGCATGTTGTATACTCCTGCTCGTGACAGAATGAATCCCATCTCCCTGCCTTTAAAGTCGAAAAATCAATTCGACAAAACAAAGATAAAACGCAATCAACCTGCTCATGATGGAATGAATCCCATCTCCCTTCCTTAAAGTCGAAAAATCAATTCTACAAAACCAAGATAAAACACAATCAACTTGCTCATGACGGAATGAATCCCATCTTCCTTCCTTTGAAGTCGAATAATCAATTCGACAAAACCAAGATAAAACGCAATCAACCTGCTCATGACGGAATCAATCTCATCTCCCTTCCTTTAAAGTCGAAAAATCAATTCGACAAAACAAGATAAAATGCAATCAACCTGCTCATGACGGAATGAATCTCATCTCCCTTCCTTTAAAGTCGAAAAATCAATTCGACCAAACCAAGATAAAACGCAA